ACCTGCAATGCCTTAGATGTTGTCAGTAATCATGGGCGGTCGTAGTCACTTACCATTAGGTGAACCGCATGCTCGTTTGCCCACTGTAATGAAAAAAAATTTAAAAAAAAATGTATACCGTCAGCCAGTCATTGGATGAGGTTAGCACAGGACAAGTGGCGCGACAAGAAGGAGGCCTATGCCCAGCGATGGATTTTAAATAGGGTTAAGAAATAAATAAATAAATAGATACCGACAACCTATAGCACTCTACCTAAATAATAATAGAACTCTTTATTGCTGCTAAAATTAAAAAATAACTAAAAATATAAAAACGTTCGAACCAAGGGTGAGAGAGATTGTAGGTCGCCTTTGTTATATACACAAGCCGACATGACTTACGAAATGACGCTTTATACAAACATTTTTAAACGATTCAAACAAGAATTCATAAATTCAGATGTTTAGACTAGTATCGATCTTAGGGACGCATCGTAGTTAAGCATGGGCGATTACACTATCAGAATCCATATTATTCTTACGCTACATCACGTGGGATGGGGTGGGCAGTTTTTGTGGCAATAAATCTGTCACTAGGTGTCGCAGGAGCTACTGTAATATTAACCCTGTGAGGTATTAATTAGGGGTTGACTTGAAATGAGTAATAAAAGTGATGTTTTAAATTGTCTTTTTTTTTTAATATTTTTGAGATACGTACTCCAAACAACATATACCAATTACTATAAATGCCTACTATAAATTTTACCTGCGACTCTGTCCGTGTCTGTATATATTGTTTGACAGAAATAAAAAGTCGCCACTGTCCTTCTCTGTTCAAAATAGGTAAATACATGTATAATGAATTTCATACTTTGATCACGTGGACGAAGTCACAGGTAATAACTAGTTTATAATATTAATAAACATATTTCTTTACTTATAAGCGACTTCCAAACGATATGTTGTACACAAGTCCGCTTTCTAAATTCCTATATTTAAAAAAAACAATTCTTTTTTAGCAACTTAGATTGGAAAATAAGTTGATGGTCCACCTGATGGAAAGTGGTAACCGTCACCTATAGACAGGTACAGTATCATGGACATAAAGAGGATACTGTATAGCCCATACGTTGATGTTCTTGAGGACTAAAGTGTTTTTCAATGGATGAAAATGGAATGGTAACCCCGCCTGCGCTATCGGTACACGCTGGTGCCCACCAGTGAAGGATAATAGGTGACGATGAAAGCAGATTAGTTAATCCATCGTGAAAAATTCCATGAATATTAACCACGATGGTTTCCAAGGGGAGCCGCGTGGCGGTCGACCTGATAGGGTACGTTGTTAGCAATGGAGGAGTTAGAGCCCATTACTAACAATCCCTTTCCCCCGGCCAGCCAACTATATTGTTTTCTTTTTCAGAGCAAAATCTCCTATTTTTTTTTTGTCTATATGAAATCGAATTAAAAAAAAAATACTTATTGTAACAACCGTTTGTCATAGCATCAAGCATATTAAATTCAATTACGTTATTTTTTCCATGTGTAATTTGTCGAGTCCCAACAACCCTTATAGGGTAATATTACAAAGGGAAATCCCTTTGGATTACACGGCTGTTTAGACAGATGCCGTGATGGGGTGCAAATCGGAAATTATGTGGAAAATTCGCTTAATTATGTTACTGTTGTTTATTTCACTGACTGTGTGATTATTTTACTGACTCAGAAGAGAAAGGTACTTGTTTTTAATCTCCGACGCAAAAAGAGGAATGTTACAAGTTAAAGGACATGTCAATACATCACGTGTAGGGGGAAAGGGATTGTTAGTGATGGAGACTGATAATCCCATTGCTAGCAATATACCCAAACAGGTTGACCTCCTCGCGGTTCCCCCTGGAAACTATCATGGTTGATTCCTGATGAATTCATCATGATGGGCTAACTGGCCTGTTTCATTCTCATCTATCACCCTTCACTGGTGCTTCGTCAGCGTATCCTGTTAGCGCAGGCGGAGTAACCATTCCATTTTCACCCATCAAAAAAAAATACATCACGTGTGTCTGTGTGTCACTCTGTGACATCGTAACTCCAAAATAAATAAACCTATTATGATGCGGCTGTTTTTGTTTGAAATCTTTCTTGGTTACAATTTATGAAAATCTCTTCAGGTGTTTCTAAGTCAGCGGCTCTTTTTATACGTTTATTTATGTCGACAATTTTTTTTTCTCTAATTTTTAATAAATTTATAGTTATATTCTTATACTAGCTTTAGCAGCGACTTCGTACGTAACGTATAATAATGTAATGTAATTTAAATTGGACTCTAGTTTCCGCGCTTACAGCCAGCCCAGCTTCTTCCAAAAACTTCCTGGGATCTTCACAGGCCTCACGGAGCGACCTCACTGTTCCAAGGATTTCTAAACGTTGATGTGTCACAGCTTTTCATTTCAGGATTTCGTGAACAGCCGATTCTTCGGCGTCAAAACAACCTCGTGATAGAGGATTGTCTGTGGCTCCTTTTATAAAGGTATATGTAATAAAGAGGAATTATTCCATCATACATTATTTTGCTATCAGCATTTCCAATGGAAGTCCTCAGTTGCTTGATTTTTTTCCACATCTTGATTGTTGTCATAGTTCAACAATTTTTTTTTTATACAACTTAGAATGGCAAACAAGCTAACGGCCCACCTGATGGAAAGTGGTAACCGTCGCCTATAGACATGAGCAGTACCATGGACATAACAGAGTATACTGTTTCGCCCATGATACCACCCATGCGTTGCCATTCCTGAGGACTCAGGTGTTATTCGTCTGTACCCTGTAAATTCACGCCATATCCCACCCTTCAAACCGAAATACAACTATGCAAACACAACTGCTTCACAGTTGAAACACGAATAGGACAGAGGTACCCAAGCATTCGACTTTTGTATAAAGTCTCCCTCAGGTAACACAAAACATTATCAAATTATGTACCTTTAAACCTTCCTCTTGAATCACTCTATCTATTGATGAAATACGTATTAAAATTAATTAGGTAGTATAAAAAATCTAAGCGTGAAGACGGCGGGGAGCGACTTTGTTTTATAGATACTATGTAGAGAGATACACAGCAAAATTACAAAGTTACACTGTCCAGTGTCGAATATCAAATTATGTTTTGTCTACAAACTGTCTTATTACAGGCTCGTCCCGGGGGAGGCAATTAAATTTATTAGCACACTTGTTGAAGGGTAACAATCGCCATTATCGAAAACTGTACACTAATAGGGTTGCTGCACGTTCCTCGTACGTATTAGCTTTTACTCGCGATTTCGGCTGCTTGACGATAAAAAAAACTGACACATTGTTAGCAATACACCCTATCAGGTCGACCTCCACGTGGTTCCCCCTGGAAACCATCGTGGGTAATTCTACCTGCTTGTGACTGACTTTCACGAATATACAGTGGAAGAGAGTTCCATAGTCTAGCCGTATAAACCGTAAATGATCCACTATAGCATGAAGAGGTATGAGGAGGGAGTTGAAGAATAAGGGACTTACTCGACCTACTGGACATGCCAGTGGGGTCAAGGAAAGTGACACGTTCACATAGATAAGATAGGGAAGGAGGAAAGATAAGATGGGGAGATGGATTTTTTTAGGTTTTTTTTTTTCTTTTGTAAACCTTTAATCGAGGAGAGACGACATTGTTAGTAATGGGATCTAACAGCGTCTTTTCTAGGAATATTCCCTGTCAACCCGACCTCCACGCGGTTCCCCCTTACAACCATCGCAGTTATTTTCGTCGAATTCGTCACGGTGTAAACTAAGTTGCTTTCATCCTTACCTATCAATGACGCAGGCGAGGTTACCCTATTATTTTTACCCATTAAAAAAATCCCTTGTATCTCGCCAACGTAAACCAGTAGTTTTTTTTTTAATGAGTAAAAATTTAATAGTAACCCTGCCTGCGCTATCGGTATACGCTGGCGGGGCACCAGTGAGAGGTGATAGGTGAAGGTAAAAGCAGGTCAGTTAGCCCATCGTGAAGAATTCCCTGAGAATTAACCACGATGGTTTCCAGGGGGAATTGAGTGAAGGTCGACCTGACAGGGTAAATTTCTAGCAATGAAACTGTTAGATCCCATTACTAACAATCCCTTTCCCCCGCGTACACCAGTAGTATAGGCGGGAATACTATTCCATTTTAGGAACCGGTAGGCACCGCTCTCGTTACCATGGTTTCATAGAGTCATTGAGAGACAGACCACCACTATTTTAAAGTTTATTAAATTTAAAAATAAAAAATACCCTAAATAATAATAAATCAATACCTTTAAAAAATGACGACCTATAACATCATTTTTTAATAAAGCAATACAACGCCATCTACATAATTACGTATGAACTAAGTGGTTCATACTTGTTTAATATCAAATTTTAGTGATGCTACTTTTGTTTCCTAACTCTATCGATGTTGCAGTTTCGCGGAAGTTTGTAATTTGTATTATGCATATCTATTTCGGGCTTTTATTTACTAAAGCTCATTTGTAACTGGCTGTATTTGTTTAAAATAAAAAAAAAACATGAATTTATTAAAAAATCTTTTTAAAGGATACTAAATTTTAATATAAGTTAAAAACACAATATCTTTGACTTTCAAATAAAATACTTGTCATCATCATATTAGCCTTCAACTGTCTACTCCTGAACATAGGCCTCGCCCTTGAAGGGTTTTGACAAAAGTTACCACGTTTGGCAGGTGGATTGACAACTGCAAGCTTTAGAGATGTTTTAAGAGGGACGCTGCTGCCCATCCCTTGCCCTACCTTATCACCTCTTACGACATCTACGAGAAAGAAAGGGGTGGCCTATTCTGTGCCGTGACCACACAGCTATAATACATAAGTATACATAGGTATAATACCTATATGGCATACGTAATATACTAATAAGCAAATACAACTGGAAATACATATATAATAATGCTGTATTAATAAAATGCAATTCAATAATAAGCTGCTTGAATAAAAACAATCTTCATTTTTGACGTCATTTATTCATAAAGACAATTTCAATAAATGAACGCACTAAATTACAATAATTTGAGATACGTTTCTTAGATAATAACAATGGTGATTGTTATGTCGTTACTAGAGATTTTATATCAATTGGTGTTTACAGTTTATTAGATTCACTTATTTTACGAAAAACAAAAAATCTTAGAATGATTTGGATAAGTAATTTATTGATAGACAATATTTTTGTTTTTACATATTTCACACTTTTGGATTAGGTACATTTTCATTCCATTATCTCATAATTACAAACTATTTTGTCATTATAATTTTAACATTATAATGACAAAATAATTCAAATATAAATAAAAACTTATCATTAATTTTCAGTTTTCCGTGTTCTAACAATAAAACTTTGGGATAAAAAATGATATGGTACCTTCTTTTTTATACTATCTACAGATTTATTTAATCTATTGCTCTTTATCGAAAACAATACTATCTATCAATAAGTTATTATATAAGGGTTTATTTTTAAAGATAATTACAGAACACAATTTACCTTAATCGTTACGATTAAAAAATAATAATTTTCTATTATAAATAAATAATTTCTGTTACAATATTGTGTAATAAGAAAAGAATGCTCTTTCTGGAAATTTTAAAACAAATTAAATCATTTAAATATATTATCTATTTATTTTGATTAAATTTTGTATATAATAACTAAAACTATATTGTTTATTACCTTATAAATTAAATAAGCATCTCTTTTCGGCTGCATCCTTGACCTGTCATTATGTTTAACCTTAACATATAATAATAATGCCATAACATCACCATTTTTCTCCATAATTATGTATATCATAATAAGCTACAATACTTTAATTCTATTGTTATAAGAATGTTACTGGAAGACGAATCGTATGGCATATAATAATTTTAGTACAATAATATACTTTAAATACAAATGCACCGACATATGCACTTTATGCTAAAAAACTATTGAAGGGCAAAAACTACGGGAGTACAATACAAAACATTAGGAAAATAGAAGTATATTCTCAACTAGTAGAAAAAGTTTTTGAAATATGAAAAAATGAATTTACAATTACAAGAATTTAGAGATCGAAACAATAGTGCGCTAGATTTGTTTTTCAAAATCCGAAAAGTGGCTTACGTAGACAAATATTTACATCAAGAATGTGCTATATGTCATCGTATGTATAAATATATCGAAAAATCCAAGTACATATATAAAAATCAAGCCGCTGACAGCTTTTATCACGTATTAGTCGGCCAAAACAAAAGCGTTCGTTATGTACAGCTTGAAGCGAGCATAGATGGGAGACTATAATACTAACTTAACCTAAATCCAACTCTAACTTCATACAAACAAGATACAAACTTACACAACAATGATCACAAACGCATTTTACAACTTATATTATATGAAAAACGATATGTTTAGTAATTGATGAGTATTAGATACGTAATAAACAAATAGAAAGCCTCTCCACTCTTAATTTGAAAGCGTAAACACACAACGCACCCTAACTAGCAAAACTTGGATACTAGTGTAGCGACCCGACCTGCTTCACTCAGGTACAATGCTGATACTAAATATATTACAGAATACAATACACATATTAACCTACCTCTTGAATCACTCTATCTATTTAAAAAAAATGCATTAAAATCATTGCATTGCGTAATTTTAAAGGTATAAGCATATATAGGGACAGACAGATAGCGGGACGACTTTGTTTTATACTGTGTAATGATATATTTACTGTTAATTATATGAACTATAAGATTTAATTATAATTAAAATTTGCAGTAAAATTGGATTAAACAAATGTCCCAAAAATAACCTAAATTTAGTGGAAGATTCTTATTAAAATTTATTTTAGTGACATATACACTGTAGGTTCATTAGGATAGCATGCTTTCAAATAAATATTTATTGATAAAATTACTCAAAATAAGTAATTCACAGATATTTAAATATAAATAATAGGTATATAATATAATCATAAAATATACGTAGGTACAGGAAACTCCATATAAACAGTAGTATAAAATACATCGATATTTGGAAGCTATAAGAGGTAGTTTTAAAAAGAGAATATGTCTTTGCTTATCAAATAAATTTAAACACCAAAACTATGACTATAGAAATAGGAACATTGCAATGTTAGTATAATCGTAAAATTAAAACGCATTGTTATAATGGAATCTCTTTTATGCATTCATATAATAATGTACACTAGAACACTAGTAATTGCCAAGTTTTGCACACAAGACAACATCAAATTCAGCCATAATAGTCCTTACGACGGCGTCCAATAAAAAATACTTATTGCTTGTACACGTAATATCTCGATATATAAAAAATAAAATAACACGAACACACGCACACTCATTGTCCTGGCCCGAGATAGGACCGTCTGCAATATGGCCACCAGAAACAATGATGGCACAACGCCACACCCAGACTCGAGATTAACGTTTGTATGTCACGCAAACATTTATCACGGTACGGGAATCGAATCCGTAAACCTTAGTGTGCTGCCTTAACTACCAACACTTAACGAATCATCAATATAGTGTCTGCTATACTGCAAACTATCTCAAATAAATCTTTTTTTAATTATATTAATGACTGTTTGTAAATTATATATTATTATCCTTTGATATGTACGTTAAAGATATATAATATTCTATTCATTTACACATTCTCAAATTGACTTACGCTCGCTACAATTAATACGTTCCATTTCTATGTACGATTGATATTTAGAATAACTGTAAGCCAATTTTCTTGTTACAAGTAAGAGGAAATATATAAAATACTCTATCCTATGGGGTATTTGGGGTTATATGGGGATTAAATACATTTTTTACATCATATTCAACCGTCAACAACATTATTTAAACAATTATTTTTTATCTGTATTTAGTGCGTATTATTGTGAAACACATGCAAATTACAATACACGCATCTTAACTCGATATGCGAATAATGTGATATAATAAGTATTATGTAAATATATTTTTACTTATCGATTGTTCATCCTCATCAATAAATATCTTGTTTTCTCTTTACATTTTTCATTAGTTAATTAATAATTCTCAACAAAGGGTTACTTAAAAAAAGTATAGAATAACGATAATTGAACAGAACCTAGTAAAGTTCGTAACGTTATTAAAGAAAGAAAAATATTTTCTAATTTCATTTTGTATATCGAAATGGATTTATAAAATATTTTTTTTTATATTAATATTTGTTATAATTTTATGTGAAAAATTAAAATATCGTGAGTAAAATATCGACACTTAGACAGCACTACATCACTGAAACTATTTCCCGGAAAAAATTAAAAATAATTAAAAATCTATTAACACTTTACTTGATAGTCGTACCTATTGATAATTTAATTTTCGTTAAATTTCAACAACTTTGGTCTACACCATTCTATTAAAAATTATTTTTTATTATATTGGCATTTAGCTCCATTTCTCACTAGCATAGCCAATAATGCGTTCTCTTATGTCTAGTTAACATTAATTTTAGGTTAATTATACGCGGACTGAGACCTCGACGCGTACGAGTGTTAATAATAATTAAAATTAAAAAAAAAGTCACACAGAGTAGAGACATTTAGTAAGCAGACATTAATACAAAATGTTCCTTTACATTCTCTTGGTCTTTCTAACCTTTTAAATTCAATAAGGGAGAGTCCTTAGCGTAAATTTTAGTCTGGTCATAATAAAATTATTAAAAATACGGGCTATAAATGCACACGTATTGTAAAAGTAGACAGTTTAAACAAAGGAATATTTTGTTCTCGTACAAAATGACCAGCGTATGCTCAGGCCTTTGCTATAGCCTTTGTTCTCACTGAAGCAGGGCTCTCCAACCTATTTCACTGCATAGATGGTTTAAAAAAAATTTTTTAGCGTTCATGTGAATAGCATTCTTATAGATATAAATATTTAACCGAGTTTCAATACTCTATATTGATTTTTTGCTTCCTTTTTATAACTTACAGTAGACGTTTGGAAATGCCTGATATCTGACTGAAATCTCCAGCAATACTGATGAAGTGAACTATACAGAAAAGAACTAGAAATTTTTACATTTGGTGTTAAATCTTTTTTTTATAACACATCGAGCAAACGAGCATGCGGCTCACCTGATGGTAAGTGACTACCGCCGCCATAAACAATTTATAAGTAAGATAAATAATTTTAACAATTCTTAACACTCGACGCTACCATTTTATTCGTTACAAATAAATGATAAAGTTTTTTACTCAAAATTATTATAAATATCTAAGCTAAAGACATGAGCTGCCATTGGAGGCTTGGCATAAACTCCTTTTGCATTTGACGTTTAGATTAAAAAATAGTAGCGCAACTTTACTATAGGGAGTTACAAACCCCGTAGTTTATAGTTCAATAAACATTGAAACAGTTTTCCATAGTATTTATCTAAACACCATCCAGGAGTCCATGGTAATCCTCCATAATGGTCATCGTCCAACACAGTTACTGAGTTATTATCACAGAAGGGGCCTTCTGTGAAAACCGCAGAAAACCGGTATTATTTCCTCAAATTTTCTTTTTAAAGCCTGACCATAAAAGAGGAAAATTTTTCACTGCTGCTTCTTGGTTCGTTTCTTATTTTTTTAAGAGACCCAATTTTTAATTCGACCAGTTTCCCTTTTATCAATTTATAGCTATTTATTACCTGTTATGTTCCTTTTTTCAATATTATCCAAATCAAAAATTTTGATCTAAATAAAAAAAGGATATACTTTGATCATAAGTACCTAGGTATTTTTAAAAATATATAAATAAAAAAGAATAATATATTTAAAATAAATTATAAGTCCCGAAAATAAATATATTTATAGTCAGGCTTTATTTTTATTTACCAACATTTTCAACATAGGAATAGCTACAATACTTATAATTTAAAATTAAAAATAATAAACCGTAGCTTTATCGCGATTCTGTAAAAACTTAAAAAATTAAAATTTAACATAATATACCTACAATTATATTTAATTTAATGACTAAAATTTCGCTTGCAACTTAATGAAAAAACTATTCAAACTGTCAACGGTTATTAACGCAACAAAACTTATTAGTTCCGGCCTCATTCCATCGTATCGTATTGTACCTTCTTTACCTTGAGATAGCGCCAGATGGCGTAACCCACCAGAGTCCCGGCTGTGGCGATGGCTAATGCTGCACCAACCGCTACCGGTGCCGCTTCGGACCTGGCCCGGGCTGAGTCCGAGCAGTGCCAAACTGGACCAAACTCACCATCCCGTTTGTACATGAAGGCTTGGAGTCGCATCTGACGAAGGTACAGCTTGGCACGGTGGCCGGAGTTAGCGCTGGAATTGGTATAAATAAGATATTTAAGAGAACTTTCCTTCTAGTGTGCTCGATTCTTTTTTAAGCCCAAGCTAAATTCTTCTGTTATGCCAACATTCTTCGTCTGTTCTTTAAGATTCAAAATGAAATTAAGCAAAATTTGATCTTCAATAATATGGAATAATGTCTTTTCCTCGACTCAGAGTTACTAAAAGTACCTAAACTTTACGATCTACGCTCATACTATGCATACAAAAGAGCAATGGAGACATAGGGAACTTTCCCAGTAATAGAACACAACATAATGTAAATAATTAATATATTTGACCCATCAAACTAAATTGGCGTTTCCAAGACCCTTGGCTTCTTCGGTCACAACATTAAATGTCATATCACATTATTTACGAATAACACCTGAGTCCTCAGGAAAAGCAACACATGGGGGGTATCATGGGCGAAACAGTATACTCTGTTATGTCCACGGTACTGCTCATGTCTATAGGCGACGGTCACCACTTCCCATCACTTGGTCCATCAGTTAGTTTGTTATCACAAGTTTTATAAAAACATTCCAAATCCATTTAAGTATCTTAAACTAAACACTCACGTGGCGTCTTCTTCAGCCAGGTCTATAACAGTCTCCTCGGGGCAGCTGTACGACTTGCCGACCGGAGTAGGGAAGAGCAGGGAGCGTGCGTCAGTCGTGAGGGTCACCCGGCGGCCCTGCTTCGCCGCGTGCTCCAGGATGCGGGCGCTCGAGTTGTAACTCAGTTTGATACTCTCCACATACCAGCGTTCACCGCCAGGTGTCTGCAAGTAATAACATTATTTATGGCAAACATGCTTATAGCTAACCGCTGGAAAAAGGGAGGAGGGATTGTTAATAATGCGGACTATCAGTCCCATTACTAGCAATATACCCTGTCTGGTCAATCTCCACGTGGTCCTACCTGGAAACCAGCGTGCTGAATTCCAAATGTATTCATCACGATGGGCTAACTGACTTGCCTATGGGTTATGTCGGTTACTTGGTGCATTTTGCTAGTAGTTGCCACACTTAATAGACGGGTTGGCAACCGCAGTTAGGCTTTGGGTCATTTTCAACTATCATCCCTCACTGGTACCCCGCCAGTGTATACCGTTAGCGTAGGCGGGGTTACTATTCCATTATCATCCTCTAAAAAAAACCGTTGGAAAATGATAACCGTCACTTATAAGCCGTACATAAAAAGTCTTCCTCTGGTAACTATAAGATTTTAATGCTCAAGAATGTATGATGTTATGAGTCTCACTGTGTATTTTGTGTTGTTCTTGATACTGTTTCTGTCTATATGTGACATTTACCAATTTCCAATGAATGGACCGTCAATTGGTTTGCCATTCTAAATTTCAATTCTACTATCAAAACATTAAATACTATTTTACGTATATGTCTAGTCTGAGTCAACTTACCTTGGCAAATGCAAATTCTAATGAGAACTCCTTGAACGACAGTACCAACGTTTCGGCATCTCCTTCCTTGCATCTTCCTGCCACATTCGCATTGTTCGGTACAAAAGTGTTCGCATCCTGGAATCGGGAGAAAAACAAAATTAAAATCTTTTGAAACTTTTTTTACATATTGTGGTCAAAAGACGTCCATGCAGTATGTTGCAGTCACATGAATCTTGACGGATGCAAAAAAAAATCAATCAACGTAGAAGAATGTAAGCAGAGACGAACCTAGGAATCTTTAATTGTAGAACAATATACTTGCTCCTCTCAGAAATTGCATAACCTCAAGATATTTAGGTACGAGCCCTGTATACCATAGCATAAATATGCCATTGTATGTAGTTAAATGAAAGAATTTCACATTAACCGTGCTCAGATACTTATATGAACAACGTTGTTTTTGGAAATCAAAATTTTTTTATTTATGGATTTTCGATACCAACAATTTCGATGATGAGAAAATGGCACGCAACACTATACTATCTTTAGTTACTATGATTCAAGATTCTTCAGTAGACATTATTTGGGTTATAACTCACTTAGGATGCTGAGTACCAAAATATATATTTGTCACCAATTCGTACATATTATATAGTTTAGTTTTCATAGAATTTCGGGCTCAATTTCGTGTTTTTGTACGTATCGATATCGACCCAGTAAACGGAGCTTAACATTTCGTTCATCATAAATCCTATTCTAATAGTCCAAAGGAACGATATTTTAACATTTTTAATAATTTTAAACATCATGTATTATGTAATTTTAACATCAAATTTCTGTTTCTTTCGTCCCCGAAATTTTGTAAAATACTTCATAGTAGGCCCTCAGATCCTCTTTTTTACTTAGTAAATATGCTACAAAAAGACATATATAATGTATTTTTTTCTCTCGGAACACCACAGAGATGAAATCATCTAAATATATGATCATAAATTGGACAAAATGAGTCACTGATTACGTCTACTCGTATACTGATGTATTTCTACTATATAATAAAACATAATGCACTCACAGCTCGTTCATTAAGCTTAGTAACATAGGAGATGTCTAACAACGCATCCACAGTCAACAGTATGCAGGTCTCGTCACCCGCCTGGAGCCGGTACGTAGCTGTGTTCAAACTTCGCTCTGTAGCTGGCTCCTGGAACAACATTCGGATATAATCTTATTATAAAAATCTGTTAAAACTCAAACTAAATTTGATCTAATTAGTAACGGTCTTCATCGTCATCATCTCAGCCATTACCCGTCCACTGCTGGACATAAGCCTCCCCCATAGACTGCCATAAAGAACGGTCCTGAACCACCTGCATCCACTGACTCCCTGCAACGCATTTCAAGTCGTCATTCCATCTAGTGAGGGGTTGTCCTACACTGCGTTTATCCATACGTGGTCGCTACTCAAGAACTTTTTTCCCCCGTCTGTTGTAACTGTCGAAAATAAACCAAATAATATAATTCACAGCATAAAATAGACTTTATTACATTGTTTAAGGACATTGATATCTGACTGATTTTTTTAACAGCTCGAAATTGATCTAGCCCAGTCTTTTATTAAGAACTACTCGCTATAACATTTTTCATACATTTAATGAAGATTGCTATTCTCTTCAAGAAAGAAAGAACGAAATATTTTTATTCAAGTAGACTTAAATTTAAGCATGTTTTAATAGTCAATTTTTCACGATTCTACCACCCATTTGGAGCGCAATTTCAGACAAGAATAACAGGCAAGAAAAAGGCTTAAATATACATCGCGAAGGTCAACATCCGACTAACACAAAATCTATTTAAGCAGGTTTTATTTACCATTACTGTTCACAGTTTAAGAGTGCTTGTATTCCCGTTAAGTTGTATAACAAAATTTATAAAGCTATATAAGATGTCTATTATTCTTTACAACTAGCTAGACGTCTCACCGTGGTCCCACCAGGGGCAGCCGTTGTCTTGCTGTACTTCGTGACCCTCGGCCTCCGTGTGGACGCCTGGCTGTCCAATTGCAGACTTTGTACTGAACATATCACCAACACTGGAACGAACAACATATATATAATGAACACAGAAGCACAAAACGACTGCACTTTATCACTTTCTTGTCAAGAACAGCATCGCTCGACGTCCACCGATCGTATGCAATAAGCGACTGATTTGATAAAGGATGTACAGCTTGGTTATCGATAAATATCATCGCTGGAAAGACTCTCTTATTTATTTTTAATTAATTTACTTTAACTTTTTTTAAAATAAGTCATCCTAAATCATTTGGTTGTAAAATTAGTAACTTATAACTATAGAAAAAGATTGTAATCTTGTCACTTTACTAAGTAGGTACCATTTTTACCAGCTCTGTATTTGCCTGTTTTAAATATATAGTTAAAACCAACTTTCATTTATTGTCAAATATTAATTTGTTATATGAAATTATTTTTAAATTGTTAAATAAATAGTTTTAATATTATTAGTGTTCTTAGACTATGAGTGAACTTACTAAAAGAATAACAGCGTACTTATATTTACTATAATAATAAATTTATAAATAGGCGATGTCTGTACATAGGAGATATTTAAGAAAATCTTATATGAGAGTTCTTAATATTATCTATAGAAATTAAAAGAATAATTTTTAGAATTATTGTCTGTCTTTATGTTTTAGGCACTCAATTGGATGTGATTTTCACAGTTATATTCTTGGAGGTCTAATTTAGAGTGTCATATATGTTTTATTTCGATACGCCATCTAGAAGGGAACCTGTTCTAAAATCCATGCTTACAAGCAAAAACATAGTTTATAAATAAAATAAAAATGTGTAAAATATATTTAAGTGTTCATATTTTAAGTCTTTTTTTTTATGTCAAATAACTAGTTACTAAAAACTAGTTGTTTTAAATAATTATATTGAAAAAGAAGTACAACAATATCGTCGATAAAATATTATCGATATTTACAAATGGTGTCACGCGTGCCAACACTAGTACAGTTATGAATGGAAAATTATGAGACTGGAGATAAACTGCTTATAAATAAGTAACACGGATTGAGATCAAAGGTATAAATAACAATATTCTTGCTGGTTTGTACGTTAAGGATAAAATATACTATAAATTATTATAAATACTTACTTAATCATTCATAAAAAAATCTTCTATAAACCTACTGGCTATTTCAAAAGAGTATCATACTCGAGAACGCGTATAACCGGACCAAATGACAAATTATATGTACTAAAGTGTAGGTTAAATTTACATAAAAGAAATGCATACTACATGGCTATTAAAGTTTACAACCATCTACCAAAAGGGGGAAAGGCATTATTAATTTGCTAATAATATTGCTAATAAACCCTGTCAAGTCGACCTCCACGCGGTTCCCCCTGGAAACCATTGTGACTAATACTTGTCGCATTCGTCGCGATGGGCTAATTGACCAGCTTACATGCTCATCTATCATCCATCACTGGTGCCCCGCTGGCGTATACCGATAGAACAGGCGGGGTTACCATTCCATTATCATCCATTAAAAAAAAAAAACATCTACCAAATTACATTAAAGAAATAACAGCTCATACTGTGTTTAAACGTAAACTTAAGGATTGGCTGTTATTTAATAGTTTTTATAATATTAATGAATATTTTACTAAAAAAAAACAAATGTACTTGACAACCTATACTGAAGATGTAATTGGCACTTTTGCTCTAAGTTTTATTTTCTCTTTATTGTAATAAATTATGTATGTATTTGATTTATATGACTAATGAAAATAAATATAGCGTAGAATAGATGTAAATTTCTGACATTGTTAATAATTTTCACGCCGACATAGAAGCAGAATGTATAGGGGAAATGTAAACCTCTTTCATCGAAAACTACCTACATTCTAGCAAAATAAATTCATTTCATTTCACTTTACAGTGTAATAGTAGACTGTTTTGTCACTTTAATAATTTAGTGTAAAAGAAAGAGACAAAACAGTTCAATAACTAAAATAAGTTTATAAAAGGTTTGACATTTTGTAAATAAATGTATTAGTTTATAATATGGAATCTAAATCAGTAACGTTCTTTCGTCATTATCATAAAACATAAGCCTCCCCCATAGACTGCCTTAAAGAACGGTCCTGAACTGCCTGCATCCACTGACTCCCTGCAATGTATTTCAGGTCATCACTCCATCTAGTGGGAGGTCGTCCTCGTGCGTAGCATCCTTTCAAACCGAAACACAGCCATGCAAACACAACTGTTTCACGGTAGAAACACGAATGGGACAGAGGTACCCAAGCAATCGACTTTTGTACAAAGTCTCCCTCTCTCTCATTCTCTCCCAGTCAACCTTTGACAAAACAGAAATGTAATGCGGTGAAAAATTGAAAATTCTTTGTAAAAAAAACAATTACACATACGTATCAATATTGACTTACAATTATATAATATATTACGATTATATTATACGTATATACTTTTACACTACTTTATACATTTACAGAAGTATAACTACTAATATAATATTATAAAGAGTATTTGTCCATAGACAGAGTCGGGGTAAAACGTGGGCGACCCGAGTCACCACCGCCCACGCCTCGCGCTCCCTCTTTTCCCGTTTCTTTTTTATTTTATATTTCCTTTTTGCATCATCAAAGGACATGCCAAATGTATCTTGCCCACATTCAAAATTGCCCCATTACTATCCTTAGGCCCCTAGAGACGACTGCTGCAACGTCCAATAGTGTTTTCACTAATAGACAACCACACTCTCCGTAAATAACAATAAGGGTTATTTTAACTGTACCGGTAAAGTGATTAATATAACTAACAGAATGGCGAAATTGAAACGGCAATTCAATTAAAGAGTTGTTATGGAACCAACACGGAAGTAAACCGTGGCAATTACAAAAAATAATTTACAATTTCTATTCAGAATTGACTACGGAACTACATAAGTCATATTGAAAGAAGAAATAAAGAATTGAGGATTTTTGAATTTGGAAAAACTATAAATATTCAGAAAGTAGAAGGTAATTAACGTTTTTAATTTGTTGTCAAAGATTTTTCTTTTATATAATTTTTCTTTAATATACAGTCAGAAGTCTTAATTTTTACAATTTTTTTTTATTCTAAATTATTATCAATTTTTTTAATGTATATACAGGTATTATTTTCATATACTGTTTTTCTGAAAAAATGTTGTATTAACTTTATTATTGACAATGTTGCTGTAGTTTTCAATAGTATTTGTTTGTTTAATTTTGTTTAATTTAGTATTGTCTAATTTTGTGTTTTGTTTACTTTTATTTTATTTTGTGCAAATTCTAGTGGCTACCAAATTAGTATTTAAGTATATAATTATGTATTATTTTAGCTGTTTGTTTGCCTTTAATAAATAAATAATTCTAGAAATCCTAGCCTATCTAGAAAGTTGGAGGAGGTAATCGTTGTCTATAGACATAAGCAATGCCATTAACATATAGTGACCCTCATCCGTTGCCATTCTTAAGAACTAAGATGTTATGACACTTTTTTACTAAAGTAGGTATTATTTTCCGGAATTCCATACCACTGGTTATTTAATTAGAATTATTTTGTTTAATTCCGCTGCCATTAGTAAATATGCGATTGCCAACACTCAAAAATGAACTACTATTATTATTCCCAAATGTTCTACAAACTTCCATATTAATCTCCTACTATCATTTCGTCTACACACTTTTTGCCGCATGTATTTCACCTCTAAACGAAGCATGTTATGCTTCCATCCGTACCCTATAATTTTACTGCCATATATAACCCTTTAAACAGAAATACAGCAAAAGGAAATATTAACTACCGACTTAAAAAAAAAACAAAGAGGTTCCTAATTCAATTGTATTTTTTTTTAAGTTTGTTACCTCAGAATTATGTTATTTTAAACCGTTTTAGATAATTTTATTTTATATCTAAAAAATATGAAGTTTAAATTGGAAATTTCATCAAAATTGCTCCAATAGCCTCTAAATTAAATATTTTCTAAATTAAAATCCAATAGTTTCTAAATTAAAATAAATGGATTTGCTACGATTGAAGTCGGTTCTTTTTTTTTTATGAAACAAAATGTACTTCTTAGTAATAGGAAAGCAGGACGCTTATTACCATTTCTAGTAATATACCCTATCAGGTCAACCTTTATCATGTTTCCTCTCGTAATCGTATGGTTAAACCCTGGTAAATTTACAATGGGCCAACTGGCCTGACATCCTCTCGTATAATACTTCACTGGAGGGGAAGAAGGAATTTTTAATAATGAAAACCTATTGCTAGAAATATACCTAACCAGGTTAACCTACCCGTGGTCCCCCGTGGAAACCATCGTGCTGAATTCCAAGCATATTCATCTCGATGGGCTAACTGACCCTCCTTTTTCATTCTCGTCTATCATCCCTCACTGGAGCCCCGCCAACGTATACTACTAAATTAAACACAAGCGGGTTTTTTTTTAATGGGTGACAATGGAATGGTAACCCCACCTGTGCTATCGGTATACACTGGCAGGGCACCAGTGAAGGATGATAGGTGATGATGAAGCAGGTCAGTTAGCCCATCGTGACGAATTCGACAGGAATTGTTCACGACGGTTTCCAGGGGGAACCACGTGGAGGTCGACCTAATAGAGCATATTGCTAGCAATGGGGCTGTCAAACTCCATTGCTAACAATCCCTTTCCGCCCACACAAGCGGGGTTACCATTCCATTACCATCCACAGAAAAAAATCAAGAGGACATACAAGTACAGCTGCGTATCTAAACTCAATACGGAAAGTTTATTTTTATTCTAAACTCAGCCTGTCTAGATTTGTAGAACATTCCTCGTTAGTGGAGTGCTAATGAATGCTGCCAGTCGTAACAGAGCCAGCGATACGTGACTCGCACTAATCGAATTGTACGGAGCCTACACGAGTAGTTTTTAGGGATCCTTACGACGCAGTTAGACTGATCTGGAATATTCTACGAGAAAGCATAGAAGCAAGTCTGATTTGCAAAAAACAGCCACTTTGATAGTAA